GTCTGTTTCTATGATTAAATGATGTTTCATGCATCTAATTGCTTAGAAGCCAAATACCCTCTGCTCTCCTTACACTGAAGAACACAACTGCATTAATTTTCATCTCTTGTCGGGGTAATAAGTCATGGATACATTTAAATCGTTACTTATGCTGATTTTGGAGTTCCACTTGTACTTGTCCTTTTTTTGCTTTTATTTGGTGCTGAAAGGACGAGTTTCTTGCATTAGCGCTGTTTCTGACTGTACACACAAATGTAAAATAGGTAGAAAACTAGTTTACACCCAAGGGTAGTCTTAATGAGGCCACAGTACAATTTATGATGAGAAGTGTGAGTGTCTTGGGTTTGGCATTACCCAAATACAATGTGTATTTTGGTTAAAAGTAGTTATTTTGAGATTGTCAGAACTATTTTTACTATAACCTTTTTTAATTTTTATTTTAGTTGACAGTATTTTGCTGCTGGTTGCTGACCAGCTCTAAATTTTAAGATCTTTACTTTTAGGGATTGGATAGATTGTTTTAGCCTATATTTGTTTTGAATTCCTCAAAAGCTTCCCAATTTCTGCCATTAGTTAAGAGTTATCATAGCTGTAATTCCCGTGTGTTAGAAGAGTTTGACTTATCAGCAATATAGGTCTCATGCTTGAGGACAACTAATCATCTGTGGCATTGTTGTTTTCATTATAATTTACTACTATTCTTATTGGGGTTAATAGAAGCGGTTGAAAGCTGGCGGAAGGAGAAACTAAAAGAAGCCAAAAAGTTGGCCCTCGGAGGGGATGGCTTGAATTCAACACGTTTGCAAGAGGAAGCAGGTAACTCGTACTCTGAAGCTGCCATATTTCACTATTTTGTTCGTCATTGAGATAAAAAAAGGGTGTTAAAGTTTAAACTTTCGAAAAAAATCAGTTAAACAATTATAGCCCACAATTTCATCGACATTCCTTTAACTAAGGTTGATTATTAACTTTTACCATTTTTTTGGCATTTTAAAAAAAGATTAATTTTTTTTTAGTTTTGAAATAAGTTTTAGTAGCAGTTAATAACTTTTTATATTTTGTTATTTGAAAATTTTCTTTTAGAATTTTTCCTTTAGAAAACATGTGGCCGAAAACAATGTGCCAGGTGACCATGATAACTTAAGAAATTTTAGTTTGAGGGATTAATTGATTTAATTTTCAGTTTGAGTGCAAAAAATAGGGTTTAAAAAATCGAGAGCTTCAGGCACCCTAGCTCAAAAAAAGTGTTACCCTTTTTCCTTGTTGTAGAATATTAAGTTTACCAGTTTGACATATCATTTTTGTAGGGATGCTAGTAAAAGCCTTGGAGTCCAATTGGTCTGTGCTATCTGAAGAAATTGGCCTTTGGATACCCACTGAAATCAATAATCAAGAACATGATGATAAGCCTGAGGGTGTGGAAGATACAGGTAGTTGTTCAAACCCACCTCTCTTTACTGCAGCATAGCAGACAGATTTAAATCAATATTTGGGAATATGGATTTGAAGTTAGTAATCTCTTCTTCAAAGAAGAGTTGATGAAAAATTGTTGTTCAGAAATGTCGATCGCTAAGGTGTAACCCTTCTGTACTGCAGAAGACGATGAGCAAATTTTAGCCGGGAGGCCCCTTCCACGAGAGTGCCATGCTGAACTTCATACCGATTATAACGGTGCAGCCGTTAGATGGGGTCTTACCCACCACAAAGAAAGTGCAGCTGACTGCTGCCAGGCTTGCTTAGATCAGGCCAAAAATGCAAAGCCTGATGAAAAGAAATGCAACATATGGGTTTATTGTCCTTCAGAGACTGGTTGCTATTCCCCAGATAAATACCAACACAAACACATGGAGTGCTGGCTGAAATTCGTAAGTTCCCCTTTTGAATCCATTAAGTTGGCATTCTCATTCCACACTGACTGCAACTTAATATGCAGTCGGAGAAACCCAGGCTGAACTTTAAGGACAGATATTCCGAAGCATACCGAGACGCACACCCAAAGGCGCCTGTTATGGTTCCTTGGGTATCAGGTATTACTAGCAGTTGACTGGATTTTGATCTACTAGACGGACACCGAAAATAGGGCAGTCAATTCGAGATGTGTCGGACTCGAGTTCTACTGATGTTTAATATTGACGAAGACGTATGCTTTTCGCAATATAATGTTTTGTAGTTTCGAACAACTGGAACCTTTCCAACCTAGCCTTGACATGGAAATTATTTTTGTACCACGAAATGGGACTATTGGGTGGCCTCAGGCAGCATTGGTAGATGTAGAGACCCATGGGTGAGGCACTGCTTGTTGTTCAATTATTTATACATTGATAAATGTGAAAAATGGATCTCTTTTGTGTGGGAAAGTTGGATCGGACGATCCTCAATGATCTGCTGTGTGGGTACATGAATGTGAAAGAGTTCTTTAACAGCTTTTGATCTTTTGTTTTTTCACATGTTGGCTTTCCAGCATAATTCTGATCGTTACGATTAAAGCATACGATTTAAAGATTATTTATTTGTTAGAGGAAAGTATATTTAATTGCTAGCCTACAACGGTTGCCTTTCTATTGAAGGAAATTAAGGTTTAGGACACTTTTTGTTATCATTTACGGTGATCAATAAGGATGTAGTGGTGGTAGGAGCTAAATAAGACCCGGTTTTTTTTTTTGGTTTAATACAAAAATAAGTGTCTATATTATATTTCAAATAATTTTGGTGTTTAAAGAACTTTTTTTTGTTAAAAAATAGGCGTTTAACGTTTTTAACGTTATACTTTTAGGTGATTAGACTGTAACTATCGTTAAATTGATTGTTATCCGACACGTATTACACATAAAGTTTAAAACAATTATTGTAAAACACTTAATATTATAAATTAAAAAAACAAACTAAAAATTATTTCCTCCACCATCGATCGCCCATCGTCGGTCCGTGGTCATTATCGTTGACACCATCAAAATCGTCTCGCCATAACGACCAAAACTCAGTCTCTCACCCACCGTGAAAATACGCATATCGTTGTGAAAATCATTGGGAAGGGTCGTCGGATTTTTAGGGTTTCCTTTAATATTTTCTGACGATTTTGATAGCTCCAACTGTCCGTACGTTATACGACCGCCATCATTGAGTTTCTCTCCCTGTTCCGAACAATTAGACACCAAAAGTCAATTTAGGTATATATGCACTTGTTTTAATATTAAACCTTTTTTCTCTGAAAATAGTGCATGTACATCGCGTGAATGATTAAAAAGGGAAGATCGGAGAGAAATTATGGGTGTTGAAGAGTTAAAAGAAATGCGAAGATGAAAAAGATCAACAAAGTGCTGGTCAAATGATGTTAAGTTAGTGATTAATGTGGTACGCCCATTTTTTGTCAATTACAATAATAATAACATCGAATAATCGATTTTTTATAAATCGATAATATTAGTGAATTATTTATTACTTTTGAAACTTTAGTAAAAAATAAATTTTTTTTAATAAACATTTGTGTAGTTTATCCTTTAACAATTGCCAATCTCATGGGAAAGTAAAAAAAAATTAATTTAAGACAGAAAAATGATTGAAAATGTTTTTGGGGGGGGGGGGGATGATGCAATCAAACTTGTGGTCGGGGAAAATTCAATTCCTCGATTTTTAATCAACACTTGAAGAAGAACATTAAAATTTAGGGTAAATTATGCATTTAGTTCTTAAATTATTAATCTTTTTGTTTTAATATCAAAACTTTCAATTTTTTTCAAAATTATGCCTAACATTTAGTTTTCATTTCATTTTAGTACCCGCAATTAAAATCTTAACACATTTAGTATTTAAATTATCAGTTTTGACATTTTTAGTACCTAAACTTTTATTTTTTAAAATTTAACGTTAAATTTGAACGAGTACAAAAACAAAAGTTTTTAACGGCGTGGTGCTAAAATGAAACAAAAACTAAATTTTTAGAATAGTTTTAAAAAATTGAAAGTTTATGTATAAAGCGGATCAAATTTAATAGTTTAGATTCCAAATATGTAATATACCCTAAAATTTAAGAGGGGTTTAATTGGTGATCATAAATAATTGTTGGGAACAAAACGAAAGTAGGAAAAAAATTGCCCCACGTCTCGATTCTTACTACAACTCGTCGATAAAACCAGTTCTTAGCTTAACCTTCTTTGTTGTTGGAGCAAAGAATCTGTTACGGAATCTGAAAGACAGATATCATCTTTTTAAGGTTAGTGTTTTTGCTACTTCCGTTATCTTTTTCGAACATGATTTGATTCCAGTTCAAGATTTTTATTTTCCTCCTTTAATGATTAACAGGTTCCATATCTTTTCTGGGTTTTGCTTTCTAAAGATTATTAATTCAGTAATTTCAGTTGACTAAATCATTCATTGTTGGGTTTTACACGACTAGGGTCAAAGCGGAAAGTTAAGGGATTTAAATTGCGGATGTGGACGGATGCTAGTGAGGTCATTGCGGGTATTGCTGTAACGGTTTCTGAAGGTACCGTTATCGCTATTCCGACAGCGGACCAGTGTTTAAATCGCTTAAGGTCATTCATTGACTAAAAGATTCTTGGGAAGCAGATGGGTTCTGGGGAAGGGAATCCCCATTTCAGTGTGTTTGATGGAGTGAAGACCTTCCCATTGACACCTGAGGCTCTCATGGCTGAAATCAACGCTTCCATCACTAATCTCGAATATGCACGTGCTACAGCTCTCCTTGACTCCCATCTTCGTCATCGTCCAGAAACGAGGGTCAGGATTCGCCCGAGTATGATGCCCGGTTGGCTGATGAGGCTTATAAAGCTGGTTGTGCTGCATTGGCTGCTGGCAAACTTGATGATGCTTTTCATTCCTTGAATGTTTCACTCTCCAAATGCCCACCTGAGAAAGCCTCTGCTGTTGCCAAGCTTCAGTCTCTTATATCTTTCACTTCTCAGCAACTCCACAAATCTTCTGTTTCAAACTAGTCCATATTTGTGTGGTATTTTTTTCCTTTTTAAGTTCCATCAAATTTTAGTTAAAAGATTGCACGATGTTGCCATTTTGAGATGCTTCTGCAATTGCGTGACCAAATCGTTGGTAAAATGTATATGAATGATTTCCATTGTTGAATTTGGATCAATTGATTCATCAAGATAACAATAACTCGGTTTGTAGGTGAACATTAGTTGTAGATTGATAGAAATATAAGGGCATTCATGATTCCTTTTTGTGTTTTGCCTCACTCCCCTTGGGTATTTGAAATTATCCAGACTGCTGTGCCTTTTGAAGAGGTTTTCTGGGACTAGGATAAACAAAGGATTGTTGGTGATTCACCACTTGGTTTTAGATTTTAGATGTAGTGTGCTAATTTAAACATGAGCTTCTGTCACGGGCTAGATTTGAACCTAGCAGCCCTACGGCATTTGGAACCACGGCATGAACTATGCGCCTAAGTCAGCCTTCGTCCTTGGATACTCAAGGTCTCGAAAACGTTCCTTGGCTTGGATGAAATCGGATAGATTGAGTCGGCAGAAATAAAGAGGTAGAATATTGAGAGAAAAAAGGACAAGAAAGAGTTTGAACCCCAATGCTTATGTTAATCTTTGATTGCATAAGAAAATCTGTGTGACAATTGAGGTTGGGAGAGCCTCTATTTATACTAAAGTCCCTAAAGCCTATCCACAAGACAAAAATCCTAAAATAACTCAAAGTATTCCTTCTTATAATGTGGAGTCTCAACTTAAAGTCTTATCTTGATTCCCGAATCCTAACTTGATTAGCTTTCTATTTACTTTTTGACTTGGGTCTTTCGGATGTGATCCATCTTGGATGGCAGCAAGTGTAACTCGAATTGTAGTCTTGGTGTGTTGCTCGATACTCTTCGGGCACCTAGGATTGTCTTGACCTCGGACCTTGACTCGCTGCCCGTGACGCTTCTGGTTAGTGGACTGGAACAAAATAAAGTTGTATCTCCATAGAGATGCTATAGCTAACAAGGTGATGCTCAACTTTCATATCCTTCGGAATTTGATCTGCTGTGTTAATTCTGGTTAAGTCCCTTCTATGTTAATGTTTCTCTAATTAGCTTTTTATATTTATTCATGTTCTAATCTTCTTTTTGCTTCTAAATTAGGTGGAATAAGACAAAAGCTAGCATCATTGGTTGCTTTCATCTCTATCACCATTTTGCCTTCTCCGTTCATAAAGTTTGTCTGAGGTTGGAGATGACTTGTTTTTCTTCTCTCTCTCTTTATTTTGGCTTGGCAAATGCAAGTGCTATAGTTGGGCTGTCCTATCATTGCTTGAAATCCCGACACAGTTTTCGATATTTAAGATTATATAATATATATTTATAAACAGCTCTTAAATAGTTACTAGAAAAAGCAAAATCCTTTTCAAATTTGTACAGTACTGACCGCCATTGTTTGGTAGTATGTCTCAGTTTTCACCGTGACTTCAGGTACAAGTAAAACTTGTAAGTAACTCCAAAGGAACTATCTTATGGAAAAATGACAAAAGATGCTTCACTTTCAAGGGAGTTTTTTTAGTCCTAGATGATGACCATTGGACGGCAATCTCAAGCTGAAAACTGGGATTTTCGTTGTCATTTGTTGGCTTGTCTTAGCCCAGGTTTTTCTGCTTTTTAACTTGGCCTTCACCCCAAAGTATAGAAATATAGAATCCCAGTATTTTCAGTAAGCTGTAAGGCCACTATCAGTTCAATCAGGTCAACTTCAACATCAAAATAATAATAATAAAACAAGTACAAGTCTTATAACAATCAATGTTGTATAAGAATATGCATAATATAAAGTTGGTATCTTGGGGATCAATTTGCCACGTCCAGTTCTCCAACCATGAGTGCCTTTTATCAAGAACAGCGGTCTCATCATTCTAAGAGATGCATGTTTCTGGCTTCACTTCTCAAGGAAGCATTTTCCCGTTGCCATAGTTTCAATGGACGGCTTTCGATTTCAGGTTGTGATGATGAACACTCGACGAGTGACATGGAAGATGAATCCGAAGTACCAACTCTTTTCTATTCTTCCTATATGAATTCCATCGCCGAGATAAGTGTTCATTTCATTTGTTCTCATTGTATGTGATGTTGTTTACAGGTAGTTGTTTCGGAAATCCGAAGTCGAGCAATGGAGAAGATGAAGAAAAGGCCAAGTCTAATGGCGGAAAGCTTTTCATGGGTGTTATCTCCATCGACGGGAGAGCTTTATATAAGCTTAAAGCATGCCAAAATAAGAGACGATGATAATGAAGACGACGAATTCTTTTCCGTAGGGAGCTGTTTCCCACTGTGTTCGAGTGGTGCAAGCAGAGAAGTATTTATGTCGACCAAGTCGAACTTTTCCCATTGTTCAAGCTTAAACAAGGTCGATTTCACGGAGATTTGGAATTTCGATTTGGAGGATTTTCGAAGACGATCAATCATTAGGGAATTCTGTCATTGTGAAGGGTGGCCATTTGGGCTATGTAGGAAGGCTGTGTTGCTCCCACCTTTGCCTAAATCTCCTTCAGAGTCTTGGTCTTGGCATAAAGGCACCAGATTAGCTAAGACGCCGTATATTTAAGCACAAAATCTACCTTTACACACTTTACTTGGATTGTTTTGGCAATAGAAATTCCTTCTTCTCCCAAGTCCAGCTACCAGTCAAAACATGAAGAAGGTAATCAGGATGTAACTTGTGTTTCTCTTTTTGATTTTTTTTATTCAAATTCTATGGTTAATGACTGTATTACGGTTAAGTTGTGTATTTAGGTCTTGTATTTTAAATTGATCGATTTTAGTTTATGTATTTTTTAAATGTTAAAAATACATCAGATATTCACACTTGGATAAGATGATAATGCTTTCTTGATGCCCATTAAACAGACAACTTTTTTATTGAACCAGAAGTATTGTAAACACGATGAGCAACTTTGTAGTTATAGATCCTAACAAATTAAGAAGAAACATTGTGAAAAATTTCCCATGAAAAGAAGCATAAAAAAACATGATTTTCACTTTGATTTACTGTGTTGTTGACAAACACAAGCCATTTATTTAGTTGCCAAGCAAACTCCAACCTCCAAGGTTCTCAGGAGACACCAACCTGTCTCCTAATATTCATAAACATAATCTAAAACCAAAAAAGGGAAAAAAAGGTTCACATGAACTCTCTGAAACACTTTAGTGCTAAGCTCTTTGCTCCACATAAGATCCAGAAAGTCCAGAAGTTCCAAGAACAGTAATCTGCAATGAAAGCATCCGAAATATTTGTGTAGGAATACAAAAGCAAATTGGTACCGGCATTTATGCACACTGCGCATGCAAGAATGACTACAATTGACAAATATAATAAATGCAACAAAGAAAACCGAGTGAATGGCGAAAGCATCTATTAGCTTCCCTTGTTTTACCTTATGTAAGTTTAGGTGGATGAATGTGGATATAAACGGTTCCTGTAATGAAAAAGGATTCTCTAAACAGGTTAACCTTTAGCCTAGGTTCAGATTGGTGTTCCAGAACACCAGATGGTTAGGATGCTAAACATCAGGGAAGAACAAATAGCAACTAATACCTATAACGTAATCTGAGATGACTTTCTTTGTTGTTCTCACATCTTATTCACCATTTGGAACCTAATGGTTAATGAAAAATCTCTTGTTTCACAAACATGAACTACAAGGAAATGCTACGCAGTGCATGAATGAACCATGTTATACACCCTTGACATAGATCATACAGTCATACGTGAATTTACAATTAGTTGCAAATATTCTTGGTACCTTTCCCCACTCGGCACCAAGGTGACCGCATCTCATCTTAAGGTAGATCATCTTTGATCCCAACTCTGTCTCTACCTTCTTTTTCAAGTAGGTTTCATCCGGGTCAAATGCATCCAAGTAAGTTGCATATTTTGAAAAACCGTCTTAAGTGCAGCTGAAAAATCACTTGACAAAGGTTTCACATTCTACAGAAAAAAGGAAAAAAATACATTTCATCAAATGCCAACAGTTGGTAATAGTAAAGACACAGAACGAAATCATCAGGGTCTTATAGACTATAGTAATACCTCTCCGCTCATTCCAATGCTGTCATCAAGTTCCATTTTCATGCTGATCAGAATACCACCAAATTCTTCAACGGCTTCAGCAGCACGGAAGACATTTTTCAAAACTGCCTGTCCGGCTTTGTCATCCGTGTTTTTGGACAGGGTTTTCTTTGCATCCTGTACCACTGAATAAGGAAGCTCATCCCAACTTGCAGCCATCAAGTCCTTAAAAACATTCAGAATCTCATCGTCCTTTATGACAGGCATATGAGATACATCATCACTAAAATAGCGCAAGCTTCCCAATCTCAACCCGAAGGATGACCTGGCACCTGCATATTTTCCCTCGTAATAAATGTTTGGAATTTGATACAAATTGGTATCATTACAACATGCTAAACAACCCACAAGAAGTTCTTAGCTGTTGTTCTAAAAAAATTAAAACATTACTAAACAATTAACACAGTTCCACATCGTACACCCTAAGAACATAAAAAACCCACCAATTTTTATGTTAGAAAAATACCACAATCCTAAGGAGGTTCTACGCGCTTAAATTCGACTTTTTGAAGGGCAAAGTGCAAAGCTTGCACAGGAAAACAACCAAAAGGATAAATTTTGAAATCCCATGAAGAATAGTCGGCCACGAGCTACATTATTAGAAAATACTAAATATAAGTCGATAAACTCAGCGATTACCAAGATAATGAAAAACGAGAAATGGGTAATCAAATAATGATCCAAAGAATAGAATAGTACCAGAAGGAATGTTCGTGGGCGGATTTGAGGCGGAAGGCGATGAGATGGAGTATAGATTACGGAAACCCAAGTGGTGGTTGTGATTGGTGGCGGCGACGGCGGCAGCCGTGAAATGGGAAGATCTGAAACAGGCAGCTCTACAAACGGATCTCAAAAACATCATCTTGTCCATTTTTCTTCGTAAAATTGGCAGAAAGACGGTAAACTAAAGAAGAATCAGAGTTAATAAACCAATACATTTACCAATAAATCGGATTAATCGATTAATAAATCGAATATAGTGATTAATTCAAAACGCAAAATAAACCAATACATTAACAAATTGGGGCTGGGCTTTGGGCTGCATCAGCCGGATGTGAGATGCAGTCCATATCAATTAGCCAGAGCAGATTGATTTTGAAACATATTAATTTGGATTTTATAATTTGAAGTTTTAGTTTCCTAGATTTGGGATTATGGTATTTTAGGTTTAGGTTATAATTTTTTTCAGTTCCAAGTTGTTTAAATATGGGATTTGAGATTTTTTTGATTGGGTCTTCAAATCATTTTAAGTTTGTCTCTCCAAGCCGCTAATCATTATAAATTTTTGGTTTATTTAGTGAAATATTATGATTAATTTTTTTAGAGAAATGGAGTAGCATTTTCTATACCAAAATGTGACGCAAGTCATAACATTCTATTGATTAGTTTTTTCCTTAAAAAATGGACCCAAGTCGTCACCTTCTTTAAAGCAACCAGTCGTGACGTATTCATTAAAAACCTGCTCCTTTAAAGCAATTTAAACCAAAACACCGAGCTAAGTAGAAGTACGTTGAAAAAGCTAAACACTGCGAAATAGAGAATCTCGAAAGAACTATAAAAAAAATACATCGAGGGAAGGTGCGGGCAGAGAGATTAATGAGAGACGAGTTGAGTCACTCTCAGTTTTTCACCAAATAACAAAGATAGCAGTGCGCTTCACCAAGCTATGACATCAATGTTCCTGAATTTGAAAACGGTCGAGTTCAGAACACCACCGTGTCGAGCATAGTTCCCAAAGTCTGAACTATGTTTGAGGACATCAAGTTCGAGACATGTTCCTCCAAGTGCTTCTTGGCATCTTGTCGTCCAACATTTGCGATTGCCAGCTTCTCGGGAGGTAATTCGTCTTCCTCCTGTACTGCCTTGTTGTATTTTACAGCTAAATTCAGCATTTCCTGCACAATATCAAAACAAACATGCATCATAAATTCACCTTATGGAGTCACGGAAATGAGAAAATTAATTTATCTAACATTCATTTTTCAACTCTTTGAGCAACGTTATAAAAGCAATTATTAAAACAAAGTGTGACCAATTAGAAAAATAGGCCACACATTTAAGAAACCATAGCCTTCTTTTCATGGATATTCACAAAGTGTTCATGGCAAGATAAGCTATCATTAACTAATGTTATTCTCCTATTTCATGCCGCGGATGCCTCACTTCTGCGAGGGACAAAAGCATGCACATTATATATTACACGGTCAATAATTATACAGCATAGACTGGGATGATAAAGTCCATTCATTCACCTGAACAGTCTGCTCATTAGTTTTGGAATGTGTATCAAATCGTCTAAGTGTTAATCCATCCGTCCACTTCTTCTTATGAAGATTCAGCAGCATCTTCTCCTCGAGCTCATTCTTCCTATAGTTAATGGCTATGGAGTAATAATGCCTATTTAGCCCATGGATTAATGCCTGCAACATAAATGATGAGATTAAATCATTTCTCGTATAAAAGGAGATGCAAAAAAGCAATCAGACATATTCTTTTGGCACTCACTTGAATAGATGGCTTATTAAGATGCCCAAGATTAGATGTTGTCTGACGTGGTTCTTGGCCAAGCATCATGGTTTGGGGATTGATCAAACGGAATGCATCAATCACCACCTTCCCTTTAACACTCTGGATTGGGTCCACCACCACTGCTACAGCCCTTTGATTCAAAGCTTCAAAGCTCTGCAAACAATGAAAGTTGTTAAACTTCTAATGATCAGACTTTGACACAGTCTTTATGTCTTTCCTTCCTAAGATCAAAGTTTCAGTCTAGGAAGGGGACAGAGGGAGTTTACAATAGCATGAATCACAATCAATACACTGCAGTGAAATGATACCCTTCCTCTCCTATCCATTACATGATTGGAATCATTGTTTCCTAAAGTTATCAATTAAGGATGGCATAGTCAAGATATACCCGCACCCTCCAACAACAGGAACGAACAAACCAAAAAGTTCAGGGATAACAATCTGATAAAACAAAGGCTTAACTAAAAAAATAAGTGTTCAAACTATACCATTTTTAATTTCCATCATCTAATGAATGCATGCCAAGTGGCCTGGCTTTTAATTTCCGTTAATTAAAAAAACTTAAGATCATTAATGTTCTCAAAAAGACTCCTAAAATCCTGAACTATCAAAACCCCTAAATCTCTAATATCCAAATCCCTAAATCCCATCAACGAAATCAACCACCACTGCCACCCCTCCCATGACTAGTGCAAGTCGAAGGACGATCGATGGTGCAAAGGGGGAAAAGTGAAGAGCGGGGGCGAAGATTTTTTATTTTATGGAGGGTTTAGTGGTCAACGATGGGTGAAAGGGGTTACCGAAATGGGGGTGAACGATTCAACAGAAGGAGGCTGTGTTGGCGACAAAGTGTGGCGAAGGGGTTGGCTGACAACATATTTCCAAGGGAGGAGAATGTGGCGGCTGAAAGGGGGAAGGGATTAGGGTTTTTTAGAAAATAGTTATTTAAGGGGGTTTTGTGAGAAATTAGCGATTTTAGGTTTTCTGAGAAATTAGGAATTTTGGATTTTCAAATAAAAGATTAAAATAAATTAAAAACCAGGCTAC